CGTGTCCCATGGACACAATCACACACACTCAGAAACACACACACAACACACACACACACACAATCATAGACGCAATCATCCGCCCAACTCCACACACACACACATGCCCCTAACATACCCACAATGAGCTATACGGCCAAGTCAATGCCCATTTTCTATGCAGTCTGCAAAATGCCCAAAGGCAAACCAAACCAGACCCAAACATGCCAGGGGCTAATACACCCTGTCACTGCCTCAGCCCCTGCTTCTATCCCTGCCTGCTACTATTGCTGTTGCCAGGTGTATTTGCACTTTGGCTCCTTATCGCTGCGCACAATTCGACAAGTCGCAAAGTCTTCAGCCCCAGCCCCCAAAAGCATACAATGGTAAAACACTTGTGAGGGAACGCTGGCCGGCTGGCCGGCTGGCCGGCTGGCTGTCTGTCCCACCGCACACCGGACCCCAAAAATGGAGCTGCTGTTGCTGTTGCGGCTTGCTAAGGAGCCGTAACTACGCAGCTCAAAAAAGCTACAGTCTTGTCTTAGGCAACGAACAGTATCTGCAGCTGCCGCACTTCCAGCTGCGGTTGCTGCAAAGTTGGCAAGGCTTTACCATTCCCTGTTGGGTCAATAAAGGTAGAAGATATCTCTGACTCTGCCTCTGATATCTCTGACATATCTCTGACTCTGATTGTGATATCGCTGACTCAACAAGTCTTATATGTTCTTGGCTTCTTCTGTATCTTAAATATAAATAATAGTTGATCTGAAAATCAATAGACACCTTTTTAAAGAACAGAGTACTTCAAAGTTGACCATACTATGCCAAAAAAATATTTACTTGCTTTTGTTTGGTTTGGTTGCATTTTACTTGGTTGTGGCTCTTCAGCTCTTATTAGCTCATTATTACGGTTATTGTTCTTCAATCACCATCAGTTTGGAACGCAATAAACTTGTAATTGGCATTACTGATGCACTTTAAACCGTTAAGCTGAAATTCATTATTTAGTTAGCTCAAAACTGAAGCTGGTAGCAAACTCAAGTTATTCCCAATTATGCTGAGAGATTTCTTAAGCTTGCACTTTCTGAGGGGCTTTATCTATGCGAACAACAAGTTCCACAACAGTTCTTATAAATAATAAATTTATAAACTGAAGAAAGCAAAATACATTTTGTAAAAGACATGCGAGTCAGACAGTCTTAAATTAGTATTAGAATTAAGTATTTATCGAAACGAGAATTCTCAACGGAAATCAGTCTGACCAAAATATCTGGAATTGCATGTGTGGTATTTGCCAATTGTGGAGCGATTAATTCGAGTGTCGCAAGCTACTTACACACATACGCATACGCATTGTGTATGTGTCTTAAGAGCATGTTTCGCTTGGCAAGTTAAGCAATCTGATATCTGGCTTATTCAACATTTGCTGGCTGTTGCCTTGTGCCTTGTGCCTTGTCTTTAAGCCTTGTTAACTGTCACAATGGCTTTGGCACATCCGCAACTCACTTTCCATGCAATTGGCTTAAGCAATTTTCATTTAGTTGTGGTTTGCTTTGCCCATTTTTCTACACCCGCTCCGCACTTGTTAGCACCCCTCTGCATTTTTCTATTGGCTTTAACTGTGGCTCTGTTGAAGCCAGCTTGCTCGTTCCAGAGCATTTCTCGCACATCCGATTAGCAATTTTCATGCACTTGAACAATTTCAATTTTTTAGTTGTCTTTCGTCTGGTTACTGTCGATTTTGATGTTCGTGCTGTCTTTTAGTTTGGTTGTTGTCTTAGCTAAAGCTCATCCGTATCATACCTTTTTATGTTCATGCTCTAAGCTGCAACTCTTTCACCCAACGACACTGCCACTGCCACTGCCACTGCCACTACCATCGTTCCCCGTAAGTAGCTCAAAAACATTATGCGCACAACCCACAAGCACTTTCCATGCGTTTAAACAATTTTCATTTTATTTCATTCTTCTGAATGCATATACCCTGTCGATATGGCAGTAAGTGTGGCATATTCAATCATTCATATTTTGAAGTCATTTATTATTATGCTAGCTGCGGCATGTAAAACTTCAATAGTGATTTTGTGTCTCAAACTTTACCAATTGCTACTTAAAATTTCTACTACTACAACAATTTCTACTTGTAAAACAAAACTTTACTATGAAAACTAACTAAAAACAAAAGTTGCCCGGCTGAAAACTTAAGTCTGTACTACTTGCAGGGTATTTATGTAGCAAACGTTATTTGATGCGCTGTCAATACCAGTTGCCAGTCTGATTGGCTGTCCCCAGGGTGTCCAGCTGCATGCTGTTGAAAATCAACCAAGAATGAGGTTATTTGTATAACTCAATGCAGTGGGCAGCCCACTGTGTCGAAGCGCTTGCTGCATTCTTGTTTGGCTTTTGAAAAATGATGATAAAAATTTCATAAATATGCCTAATGCGTTACGTTCCCTTATTCCATTCTAAGCCATTAACTTTTCCCCCTTTTTTCCCCTTCTCTTGCTCAATTTCTCGACGAATACATGTACATATATGTGCACACATATATTTTATATCGTAAAATATTTAATAGCCGTAAGTGTTTGCCAGCGCCAAGGGGCATGTTCAATGCTGCGTATACCTTGGCCATTATGTAGTCTGGGCAACGCACTGGCCATCATTTGTCTCCGTCTCCATGCTCTGGCAGCAATTTTTATTAAAATTTATAAAAAAATAAAATAAAAAAAAAACGGAACATAAAGCAAAAATATCGATGCATGAATATTCTGACCTATCCCTCAATAAATTTCAAATCGAACGCATTGAATAAGACGTGATTTTCAGCTTACGCACACGTACACATGAGCCACACCTAAACAGGCTGGGGATGGGTGAATATTTGTGGGTGGTTCGAAGGTCGCGGACGGGGGTCGTTCCGGCTCTGTTTACTACTGCATGGCACGTATTTTGGATTTCTGCTAAATTTCAACTTAATATTTGTGTCGCTGAACGTGTGTGTGTGTGTAGGTGTGTGTGTAGGTGTGTGTGTCTGTGTTTTTGCGAAAAATTTGCTCTCTTTGAGTCAGCTTAAAGTGTGTAAGTGTGGTTAGCGGGGCATTTTAGCCCCGGGGAATTTTTTTTCTGGCGTGTTAATGCCTTTTGGCTATCAATTGACCATTATACGCTGGATTCTTGAACCCAGTCTCGCAGTTCCGGCCGCCTCATCCGCTACATAACCATTACCAGTCTGTAATTCCGTTGTGATTTGGGATTAGGTCTGGGCCTCGGCGCATGAACACGCTATAAAAATATCTTGGCCAAGGCAATTGAATAAATTGTGACCTTTACATTGATTCCGCTTGCAGCTCTTATTGCCTTGCTCTCACTCTCTCCCTCTCTCCCTCTCTCTCTCTCTGTCCCAAGTAAATAAAACTTGAAAAACCATTTATTTCTTTTTGACTTCTGTACCCTTTTATACTTTTATTCTTTTTGTTTTTGTTTTTTTTTATTATTTTTTTTTTACGCTATATTTTTTGCTGTGTTGTTTCTTGTGGCCATTCCCCGCGGCACCGGCAACGGCACGTAAGCTGCCAGAGAGTTTTATAAGTCCATTTGGGTATTTGCTATTTTTAAATCGAAATATAAATAAATGGTTACTGTTGTTGTCGCCGTTGTGTTGTCATTGTAATTGTTATTGTATTATGTTGACACACACCCACAAACATAAACACACACATAGAAAAGCATAATAAAAGCACCTAGTCACTGATATACGCATCCGTCCACATGCTGACCACAAGTTGGTCTATTAAGCCGCTTAATTAGTGTTTCAGTTTGGGTGCACTGCAGCAGTGCAAAAACTGTCGGATTTAAGGGTCAAACATGGCGAACGTATTGTGTATCCATAATGTAGAAGAAAATCGAACCACAGCGGGATGAAACAACACATTTGACACGTTAATTAAATATTGGCATAATAGGATAAACGATACGCCACTTTTTTGCTCGTTAGCTTCAATCATTAGGCCTACAGCCGTTAAAAGCCTTCGTAAGCCTCTCATCAAACTTTATTTGGACTCACATTTGCTGCGGCTTTCAGCTTATTTAAAGCCATTGCCATTACATTATTCAAGTACCACAGTTGCCAACTCACTTAAAATCTAGCAAATAACCGAGTTCAAGGCATAAGCCAAATGCCACTCTTGCCAACTTGACTCTAACTCCAAAGCAATATCACAAAGAACACTGTTGCCAACTCACCAAAGCGTGCATACTTCTATGCCCGAATAAATGTCATAAGCCATGTACCAGAATTGGCAGATAACCTAAACCTACATTTTCATTATGCCAAGTAATGCCTTATATTTATTGTATTTATCGTTATCCCATTGCCCAGTCTGAACCATTAAAAAGCCACTCAATTTTAATATTTTAACCATAACCATATTTTTATTATGGAGAAACATTTTTCATTTTGGGTTTTTGTTTAAACATAAAACGTTATTTTTTTTATTTGTATTTTGTTTATCAATTTTGTTTTTTGTTTTTTATGTTTTTTTGTTTTTATTTTGGTTTTTGTTTTAAGTTTTTGTGAATTGAAAGTTGTCAACTTGGGGCGTTTATACTTATCGCTTAAAAGTCTTATCAAGACCGCTTAAAATCGAGCGCTAAATTTACAGTTATTCATTTATGTATCAATAATCAATAATTTACACGATGATGGACTACATAGAACTTAATGGCAGACAACCAGGTAAGAACTTATAAGTATACACAGAGTTTTTTTTTTGTTAAAGATTTATAAATTTGTTATTTTTAATGTTTTTTTATTTTTATTTTGTTTTTAGTAAAACGGGCGAAAAACAGTTAATGTTGTTCTAGTTGTTGGTTTTATGTGTTTATTAAAATGTATTTGTGTTGTGTAAATAATGAATGATGCAAGCCGAATAATAACAAATATTTATACTATATACACAGTAGACGGCCGCACATTTAATTATTTTTGTTGTTTTATTATTAATTTTGGTTTTTAAGCCTAAATCTCAACGAAAATGAAAATTAAATTGCTTGTAATTTGGCTGGACTTTTCTGTGAATTGTATACATTATATATATATATATATATATATGTATATGTTTGTATATATATATTTGTCATATACTATATACGCATTTTGTCAAAGAATAACAAATGAGTTTTGTGTACAAAGTAGAACAAAAGACGGCGCTGGAGCTGAAAGCGTTTTGAACTCAAATTCGTAAACTTTTTATTGCATACTTTTTGGCGCGTGCGAACAAGTTTTCTTTTCTTCGGCCTTTCTTATGGTTTAATGAATTTCTCTGATAAATAAACTTGTACATTGAAATTTTTATTTATTAATTTTAAACAAGCTGCGCGCCAGAAAGCATGCAAACCACAAAATTAGGCGAAATAGCGAAGAATGCGTTTTTCGGTTGAAAATGAAAAGAAAAGAAATGAAAAGAAGTTTACAAGTTTTCGTTCCTGGATTCTGTAATAATGTTATACAATCTTATATATTAGGTTTTTTTTTTTCTTTTGGGCGTATTGTTTTTAAAATGTTCCATCGTAATACTTTTATTTAGTCAGCAATGCTGCCATTTCGAATTTTGTTTCTCTTACAGATAATACTCGTTCAAGGACTTTTGCATTATGTACACCTCAGTTGATGAGCCGCATCGAGCCGTAATGGCAAACATACACATACATATACACACACATTAAATGCATCATCATTAACACTAAACAGAAGATAAGTGCAACTGTCCCAACTAGGCCGGGACCGTCATTCAGCTTGATGCCCAAATAGCTGCAACATCATCAGCTCAAACTGCAACTCCAGCTCCAGTTCGAGCTACAGCGGCGCCACAAGTTGGCAAACGCCGCTGGCAGCAGAGCGTTAACGGCAGCAACAAAGCAACCGCTGCTCCAGTTAAAGTTCCATGTTACAGCTACCACAGCTGTCGTCGTTGTGATGGCTAGTAAAGGCACTGGGCTCCATGAGGAGCGCAAGGAGCTCGCGCTGCTGTTGCCATGTTGCATTGCAGCCGGATGTTCGCCGTTTATGACATGCACCACCACAGAAGCGGAGTCTGTGTACATACATACATAAGATAGAGATACAGTGGAAGACACAATAATGCAGCAAATGGGAAAGGGGAAGTGAGAGGAAGAGAGGAGCACCTTGCTAGAGTTGGGAGCATTTCGTAATTTGTATTATCAAAAAACTCATTTCATTTGAGCCCGATTAAGAGGCCTTATATACGAAAAATCTTAACAACAAAAAATGTAGTGATAAATAAAATGGTGTTAAAAAGGTTTTATTTCACTTATTTACACAATATAATTACAATTAAAATATTCGAAAATATCAAATAATAAGAAACGAACAAAAGCAGAACCAATCATTGCATGAAAAGTGAGTTTGTCAGAAAGATTAAACTTTTTGTATGTGTGCTTAAAGGAAAAACAAATAACTTAATCGATGCCTGAGTTACGATTGCTGCCAACACGCGCTCATCTCTAGCGGATGGTGGTAAGTGGTAGTTGTGTGTGCTAGAAAAGCCGTTGGCATGAGACGTCACATTAATTGCCAGCGGGCATAGAACGAGACTTGCAACTGACACGCACTCAGACAGGCGGATAAGGACGTTACCATTAAAGTGGATGTGGATGAAGATGAAGAGAAGCAACCGCAGCAGTGCGGCAGCAGCAGTGTGGCAGCAACAGCAAAAGACAACTCACCTGAGCTACTTGGCGAGCACGTATAGTTGCCGGAATCCGCCGACGTGGCCTTGGCTATCAGCAGTTTACTGGTGCGCGTCGAGCGCTCGGTGATGACATTAATGCCGCCACGCTGCGAATAATTCATGACCCGCTTGCCTTTGTACCAGTAGATAAACGACGGTGGCACTGGCGACTGCATCGCCAGGCAGGTGAGATTAATGTCGCTGCCGCTCTTGATGAACAGCTCTGCATTGCCAAGAATTTTAGCACGCGACACTGTAAAAAAACCGCAGAATACAATTAATTGCTTTCATACTTTAAAATACGGCGCATACAAACACTCACACACACACACACACACACACCCGCATTTACTCACCCACTACGTTGAGGCGAAAGCCCTGACTGATTTTCGGCTCGGTAGACACCTGACACTCGTAGGTGCCTGAGTCTCGTGGCTGCGGCGAGGATATGCGCAACGTCCATTCGTCGGAGCCCTCAGAGTGCAGCGATTGAAAGCGCTGATCATTCGTATAGGTTAATATGCCAACAGTCAATATATGCAGGTCCCGCTTGCGTATCCACGATACCTACAACGAAGGCCAACAGCCACAAAAGAAATGGCAAGGGAACGCAAAATAAAATATACATATACACACAAGCAGTTTCAGTTGAAGTCGACGATAAAGCTCTCGTTTTTTTAAATTTGTTAATGTACAACTTTTATCACAAGTCATTTTACAGCTTTTACTAAGTTCTTAAGTTGGCTGGCCTAGTTGCAAGTTGCAAAATCATTTCAGCTTTTCTCTTCTCCCATTACTTTGATGCCCGGCAATTTGCAACGTGTCTGTGCATCGATTGTACTGAACATAGATCCGGAAGGCTCTTAAAAGCTAAAAGCTGTGCTGTCTACCATTGTGCTCCTTTTTTTTGGTTTATTAATAAGTAAATAACCAATTAACGACTTTGCCTTAGGTTGGGCAGCCTCAACTAAGTTAAAATGAAAATATTAGAGCTTAGCACACACTGGCCATTATTAATGATAGTAAAATACACAAAGCTAATAAGCCTGTTAAATTGATTAGCTGCTTTACTTTCAAATATTAATCATAGATAAGAATTCATCCAGATTGAGCACTTAATAATAATCTAACAAATGTATATTTCTGCTATAAATCTATAATAAGTATAATATTTTATTATCTACAAAATCAAACGTATTAATTCTGTCAACAACATCTTCAATCTTTCAATCAACTGCAGAATGAATTACATATTCACTAATCAGACTCAAATAAGAAATGTAAATCAAATTGATACAATTTATATGTTAATTGCCAACTAATATAAGTAGATGAGTTAGCAGGTTTGGAAAATGATATATTTTGTGATTAATCTGCGAAATGCAATTTACAAGTGGGCGTTCCTATGCCTAAGGTGATGGGTGTCGATGAGTTGTTAAATACGTGATAATTAAAGCATGTTTATGTAATAATATATCATTATTATTTGACTCGATTGGGTAAAATGTTATCATTTTAGCTCAATTTTATATGCCTTTTTCAAAATCAATCGCCCGGAACAATTGAACTAACAACCCTTTTTAAGCGATTCATATTTAAATATTTGCTTCTTGGGTAAGATTTTGAAGATATGCAACTAAATAAAACCAATAAATAATCACAAAAAAGGTTTATATGTTGATTCACCGACATAAGCTGACTTCAGACTACTGAAAAGATATGGAAATTTGCACACCGTTCTTTGCATTCATTTGTATTATTACTAAACTAATTGGTTTAAAGTTGTAGCTTGAAGTTTTTAAAGCGATTACTCAGTAAAAACTTTGCACAATTGTCTCTCCCCCATTTCGAATGTGTAATTGTACTAAGCTTATAGCTTAAGCTGAAGTAAGGCAACAGCAAATTTGATATGGAAAAACCCTTTTTTTGCAAATGCTGCCAGAAATAATTTAAGTGATGCTGAATAAATAAGTAGAAATGTGAATTCATGAAAAGTATCCGAAACTATTGAAATGAAATTTAGGAAAATACAAATACCGTTGCCGTACGTACATAAATAAAATAAATACAAATTTGATGAAAGCAATTAAAGTGAAATTTGGTCTAATGAAAAATGTATAAGATCACAAAAATGTGTATCGAGCAATATTTAAGTAGATGGAGTTGCCTGCTTGGATTTCAGCTGAAAACTTTTGCTCCATATAAAATCGTTATTTTTAACTATGATTGACACACAATCGTGCAACGTCGCTCCAATTAGCTGCATATAAGAAGCGTCAATGCGAATTGTCTTGTCGCGAATTAGTGCACGCTGCCAACTGCTGGCTGTGAATAGCAGACTGGATAAGTGACTGGTTTCGCTGATTGCCTGACTTGGTTTGTCTCTCAGGTTGGGGCGTTAATTACTCAATTCAACTGTCTGGGACTAAAAAGTTCAGTCGGTTGGTTGGAGTGTCGCCAGGCAACACAACGTTGTCACTAACTTCGTTGTCTACGACAACGGTGAGCGGCCAAAGGCAGGCATTTTGTTTGGGGGCACGACACGGACAGCTGGAAATTTATTACACCGCATAATTGCACAGCCAGAGAGCTTTTGAGGTGGAAACCAATGTGGGCAGCAGGAGGCATGGCCGAAGGAAGCAACTGTTGTTGCATTTGCTAACAAATCGCTGGAAGCGGAAGCGAAGCCGTGTTACAAATGCGCGAACAAGAACAAGAAGAAGCGGAAGCCAACGACAGCGAGTGAGAGGGAGAAAGAGAGAGAGAGAGAGAGAGAGAGAGAGAGAGAGAGAGAGAGTGAGCTAGTGCGAGAAAGAGAGTGAGAGAGCGAGGGGCTGTTGCAGATTGGTAGCAGAACTGGAGGCTATGGCGGTTAGACCGCCAACTTTATGGCGTAATCTTTTAAAAGTAATCTACAAATCTGCCAGGCGCTCGCCGCAGGTCGTTTGTTTATCCCCCTCTCCATGCCACTAACCAACATAACCGACAATAACCGCCATATACATACCTTATGCCTTATGCGGCATATACACATACATATATAATGTTTTGGCTTTGACTCGAAGCGCATTTTAATTGCGAGCCCCTCTGGGCTGACCCCAGACCCCACAAAACATCATTCAACTTACCGCCCGGTCGCCAAGATTCCGTACGCGGCAATGCAGGAGCGCCGCTTGCCCCACAGTTGCCGTGACCTCGCGTCGTGAGGAGTTATCAAAGTATGGCTGCGAGTAGGGGGTTTCCCAGTAATGTGGAGGCACTTCGCTGATGACCATGCCGCTTTCTGTGTGTGTGTGTGGTCGTATAATACATAAAACAAAAAAAGGAATTCATAACAACAACATCAACAGCTACAGCAACAGCAACAGCAACAACATCATCATTTCAGTTCATGCCCCACGTTTATGGACTCGGCGTGTGTATCGCTTTAAATGCCATGTCATTGGCATCTTGATCCTGAACTTACCAAATAGCAGCAGCAACAGCCACAGTTGTGTAAGCCAAAGCACTTTTAGGGGCGAGGCGCCCCAGCTGTGCTGCATGTCCATCGACATAATACTACGTTGATCGATGAACTGACAGCTGATTTCGTTTTCGCTTTATTATTGTTCTTCTTACTGGCCTTGCGTATGCCAGAACAACATCGATGACAATCTTGAAGGACTTCCAGAGGCGTTAACAATCTATAAAAATCGTTTATAATATGTAGTTACGATGTGCATTGTATCTTATACAGATGTTTAACTTATTGTGTATGGCAGCCTCGGCAGCTTACAAAGTAAAGTTCATCGTATCAAATTCTATGTGCCAAAGTTGTGCAATATAATATAGTTTTTTGTTTTTAATTTGCCGAACTTATTCTATAACTATTCTAAAGCTGTGAGTAAATATATGAAAAATATAATAAGAAATTAAATAAATATTATCAATTTTGGCAGGCAGACACAAAACATTTCATATGCAATGATTACCCAATTATTACCCATTATTATTATATAATTATGTGCCTACATTTTTTATTTATTGATTTTTTTTTATACACGAATTTTGGTAATGCGCATGCCATTCCATTATACTGTAATTCTAATTGTAATTGTTTTAATGAACATTTTATCTGTCCATCAAAATATAAGTCATCAATAATATTCGTCACATGGCCCAGCAAACAAATAAATTATTAACCTGATTTTAAAATATTAAATACCTTTTTATGCATTAGCGTTGTGTGATATCAATGTCAATCAGAGCATAGACAAATACTGGGGAACTCTTAAAAATTTGTTTTACGATTATGTTCACAATTAAAATTTCAATTATTTTTAAGTGCTTTCGAGCCATTAAAACGGATAGTATCTTGAAACCCAGAGAAACCTACACTCACGGCGTGTTATTATCTTATTGCTGGTCTAAAAAGAGCTCCACTTATAATTGATGGACAGGCGAGCTCTGAATTTTAATTTTAATTTCATTGCGACTTGAAATATATTCTTAGTTGTATACAATTTTTAATTTCAAGATTTGCAATGTCATCCAAATGCTAAACAGGCCTGACAACGAATAACTAAATATTGCAGAAAACAAATTTCAGATAAAAAATAATCAAATATTTCCTAGCTTTTATGAAACTCTTTAAGGAAGAAGAAAGAAAGAAAAAAATTATTCAGATTTTCTGCAAATCAAGAAACCTCAATTCAAAGAAAAAGCATTAGACAAAATCTTCCATAAAATGGATTTCAGCAATTTTAAAGCTTAGCTTAGCTTCGTTAAGCGATTTAAGCTAAAAAAAAAAATTGGCAAACTTTCAAGCAATTTAATCTTATTCATCAATAATCCCCCAATTTGAGAATGTGAATGCGAATTCGAATCAATTCAGCAGAAATTTAATCGTTAGCATTCTTTCAGCAACTAGAATTTTCTAAATTGAAATGAAAACGAAATTGGTAACATTTTCATTATATTATTGCAGGCAATTGCTACAGCAAAGTGAATGAATGAGTGTATCTTGAGGAAGCTTGGCAAAAGATGTGCTTAATAGAATAATTTATTGTAATTACTATTATTTTGGGGTAGCTCAGCCCACAGATAAACGATGCAGCTTTATCACCAAATAAGTGCTTATTTATACGCTTTAATACTCATTTCTCCAGCTGGCCAGTACTCGTAATATTCACTGCATTTGTTACAGCTACAATTTATGGCGACCACTTACAGCCGTAGCTCTTTCATTCTATCATAGCCCAAAAATACAACAAAAAAAAAATAAAATAAAATAAATAAAGAACGCCCAAAATTTCTCCAGCTGCGTTGAGTCAACGGGAAAAGGAACGCCAAGGAAATACATTTAGCACGGGAAAATATTCATAATCCTGGGCCATTACTCACAAATATATATTCGTTGTCAGTCCAATTAGCTGCGTGACTCGGGTCAAGGGGTTCGTGTGGCCCGCTATTTGTTTTGGTCATTCCCCCATATATATATATATATATATATTATAGTCCCATATATATAAATACATATATATGTGTGTATATGTGCGTGTCTGTGTGGGGCGTATTTGTTTGCTTGTGCTGGTGACCGTTGTCCCTTTTAGCATTTAGCATTTTGCGCTGCTATTATAAAGAATTATCGCCCGAGGCCCAGAAACGTCAGTGTTCCATGGAAATCAAACAAAACAAATGTCAGGCTTTAGTCGCTGCTTAGTACATTTTTAACCAGCATTTGAAATCCACATATTAGTCAAAGTCACACACAAACAATTAGAGCCTCTAGCCTAGGGTTCCAAACTGGTACATTTCTATTGTATGTACACTTATTGTATTTGCACATTGAAACTGACTTTGAGAATATTTTTTATTTCCCAACGGCTATTGCATGATATTTTATCTTTTAATTGTGCTACGCATTGAAAGCGACATCCGGAAAATATAATTTCCAAGCGACTATTTTTTGATAGTTTTTTAATTGCTATATTATGCATAAAAGGTCAATTGTGAAAGTATGTTATTAATTGGTATTTTCTAACCGATAATTATCACACTTCCCATATTATCCTTTGGAGTGATTTTCACGTGTCAGTTAGTTAATTTAGTTATTTTCTATTATTATTATCTAAGACTATTATTATCTAAGACACTATATATCGTTTTTATATTGTTTTCCCTTAACTAAAAGTATAAGCAAAAGGGGATTCTTATCCTGTGCATTACTCAACGTTAAGATCTTAAGATAGCATATATCTTATCTGACATTTACTTACCAGTTGACAGCTGTTCTATGTGTATTCCATGCGACGCTTGTATCCCGGCGCCATTTTGAGCCCAACACGGTGTTGATTTTTTGTGCAAAGTTGATTTATTTGGCAATCGATTGCGCAATGCGGAATAATTAGTGGAAACTCAACATTTATGTTTGCACACATTTTTCGCTTCAATAGTCTCTCATTTTGACTGCCATTGTTGCTTTCTCGGGTCCTACTTTTTTTTTATATATATTATTCGTGGCAATAACCTGGACTACCAAATATTTCCGTTTAGCACTCGACCAACGACAATGAATGCGGACACGGTTAGGGACACGAGAAGGCAACGCTGTTGCCTTTGTGTTATTTTATTTGTGTGTGGGTATGTATGTATGTATGTATCGGCACATTAGGTACAGCTCTATAGGTATGCCATATAAGCACTACACTACACTCGCACACCGACACACTCACACGCACAAACACACTCGCACACTCGCACACACACACACACACGCAAAGTTACACGCTCGAGCGTCGCATTTTTGTGTATCCGTCTCGTACGTGAGCAATGCTCTCGTTCTTCTGCTGCTTCTTGCTGCTCTTACTGGGTATACAGTTATTAAAAAGCCGTTGTTGTTGTTGTTTTTTTTTAATTTAATATTTGGCTTTTTTTTCTTTTCTTTTTTTGGGGTCCGCTTAAGGTATTTTTATTTTAAATGTGGCACAATGTAAGCAATCAATTGCAGTAGCCGAGCGCACACGTGCATCCTTGCTGCAGGATTCGCGTACTAGAACTGATTCATCAGCAGGCAGCGCGTGTCGATGGCTACCTTGGCGAGAGTAATACACCCGAACGTCAAACCGAAGTAACTCACTCACAATTCTCTCACAATTCTCTCACAACTCTCTCCCTCTCTCTCGCTCCTTCTCTCTCTCTGCCTCGCAGACAGCGCCGACGCGGTGAGAGGGACAACATGAAACATTAATTTGCGTTTTCTTTGCATTTTTAATAAGAAGCAAAGTGGGCAACATTTTTGTATTCTCTATTTTTATTTTTTGTTGGTTGGCTGTCGTGAAGGGGTAAGCGGAAGGGTAGTTCTGCTTATGCTTTAAAGCTCCTGCAAAAGGTTTGACTTTGTCGCAGGTAACAGTTAGCCTGCCGCAGAGCCGAACCGCTTGAGTCCAAGAGTCGAGTGCGAGCGAGGCGAATGAAATAGAGAGTGGCGCTCTCAGGTTAACTGGGTTATTAGCACAACCTGCCTCAACTCAACTCAACTCAACTCAACGCAACTCAATTCGTTGCGTCGCATCGCATCGCGTCGCGTCGCGTCGCATCGCATCGCATCGTAGCCGAGCATAATCTGCTCAATAGTCACGTACAAATGAATATTCGCCATACACACACAGGCCTTCGTTTTCTGGCATATTAATATAGTCTACATTTGGGGGTTTTGGAACGCACATGAATGATTTACGTAGCCCGTAACAGAAACAGAAATGTGATTTTTACCGCAATGTGTAGGTATATTTTTGCAAGTATTATACCACCCCCCACCCCACCCGGAGGATGTCTGTATGCGACAAAAAACAATCGAACAGACAGTTATAGGCCAATTTCAGTTTATGTACACGTGTCGCAGTCGTGAAAGATTTGTGAGTTCGCCCCGCCAACGAGGTCCAAGCAATGAACACCTGTTCACCCCTGCACCTGCACCTGCACCTGCACCTATACCTACACCTGCGCGTGCACCACCTACCTCTCTGTCGCTGTATGTGTGCGTATGATGTGGTGCTGTGCGGTTGCTGATTTTCCTGTGCCTATATGGTCTCCATGGCCAGCCGTGTCAAATGTTGCGTGCTATGGGCCGCAAATGTTGCTGTCGAAAGCGTATCCGTAACCTTATACTCCCCCAATTTGCCTACCACCCAACATAGTCGGACAACACCGGTCGACGCGATATGCGATGAGTCTCAGAGCAGTTGGAGTCCGAGGTCAGACTCGTTGTTAGTGTGTGGGCGCGGACGCTAGGAGGGTGAGGGGGGAGGGTAAGGGGCATTTCAACGCGCGGCTTACAAGCTAATAAATAAAGTGCCAAAATTTTTTGTTCGAATCGAGAGTGCTTGACTAGAAAAGCGCTCAGTACGCTGCTGTTGAATGTAAATTTCGGGCAAACAATGAATAAATGGCCGAGTGGCGACACCTAGCGGACAATGAGAGCACTCAAGCGTTCCAGGTTCACGATTCTGTTGTGAAATTCCCTAGACTAAATATATACCATATAAAACACTTTGAAGCACAATAAAAACTATTTTTGACATTTACGATTGTTGTGAAAGTTGTGGGAATATAAAAGTATTTAGTACACAATACACTTGTGGGCCAAAATCTGATTTAAGCTTTAAGGTTTCACATTTTTTGGCAACTTCTTTTAAATATTTAATGGTTCATTCCACGAGCTTACTTCACATGGTTTTAATACATTCTAGCCATCTTCAAAGTTTTCCAAGGCGAATCATAGTCTAAGACGCTTCTAAGATTTTATAAGCTCTTGAGATTTGAACACAACATTAACTATTTTTGTCTTCTTGAACGTTTGTGTGAACCCACTTATTTTCTTATTTTTTCTTCTTTTTTTTTTTGCGTTTTTTAGGTGAGCACATTTCGAGTGGGACGAAGTTTGCTTAAGCCAGGGAAATAAGTTTGCTTTAAACGAATATATGTAAAAGAGCTTTCCTTGCATTTATCTGACTAGATATATAAGTTTTAAGTTTCTTGTTATTCTTGAAGACTTCTAAGGCCAATACACTAAGATGCTTAGAAGCTAACTGAACTCCTCCGCATAATATTTTGTTTAAAGTGCAAATATAACCATATTTAATAGGAAAACACGTTGTTTTTAAATTGGACCGACATTGAAGATGGGTAATTATGCACAGACTCATGGTTCGCCGCAGAAAATTATTGAAAAAGTGTAGATAATTTTAAACTAACTATTAATTATTAATTTTTTCGTTAAAATTAATAAACAGGGTAAAAAATCAAAGATACAAAAAAATAGCTTTAACAATAATTATTAATTATGAATTTGTACAAACATTTTTAATTAAGAACGACTTTTAATACTACTTTATTTGGTTGCTTGCTTAGATACAGATTTATTATAATCTCAAACTAGTAAAGGTTTTCTACAGCAATGTCGTCGAACGTTATTTGTTCATTGTAATAAAGAAAAACCCCAAAAATAAATAGATACTAATATCTTTAATTTATGACGAATTTGTAAAATACTTCATTTTATAAGCACCGATTTGCAACAATTTCAACGGAATCCCTGTTTTCTGAAGCAAATCCCTTTGTAAGATTGTCAGCTTCGTGAAATAGAGTAGGAGTCTTAGTTGATTTCTCTATACCCGTTAGTTGAGAGTGCTGGGTATCTGAAATATATTAGCACTGTTTAAGTATCTCTCATTGAGCGAATCAAATTAGTGGAGCAATCTATAGCTGCCCATTCCAGCACACAGCAAATTCTCTATCGCATTCCTCTATACAGTGGCACAACCTATGCGAGATGCTATCTGTACACCTATTTGCAAGTGAATTTATTGTTGCCAATTAATTTGTTAAAATTAGTGGATCAGAGGCGCACAGGACTAGCGTCTAGCTGCCAGAGCACAGAGCCTTGTGGTAGTTTCAATTGCAGGGCTCCAACGTCAACTGCTTATCGATAAGGCAAGGCGACGAGGACGCGGCTCTGGGAGCAAATTGTTTGGGCTCGTCTTTTGTATTGTTGGCAAATGTATGCCACGTACACGTATTTATCCATTGCTAAGCTGACGCTAGCAGCGCCATATATTGCCACTGCCGCTGCTCCAGATACTGGCACGCTCTCTCTCTCTCTCTCTCTCTATCTCTTTCTCTATCTGTCTCTCTCTCTCTCTGCTTACCCTTCCGCTGCTGGTGCTGCTGCTGCTGCTGCTGATTTTGCGTCTCTTGCGGCCGACGCGTCTTGTGCCTTGCATGAATGCTAAATTAATTTCAAATGAATACAAATGGCTTTACGCTTTTAAGACCAGGCCAGAAGCACAGCACAGCACAGCAAATTTACACACACACACATACACACACACATACACACACATATACACACACATACACAGACACACATGTAGTCCTTGCAGCGTTGTCTGTTTTACATTTAGCTATGTTTTTCGCACAGTTTTCAACATTTGAAATAACTCTTCGGTCTCCGACGGCTGCTGACTCACTGGCTCAGCCTTTTTATGGGTCCGTACATGTCGGCACGGCCACGTTTATCAGATGCACCGTTGTAAATTTACAGCCCAGCACCGGACCCGTTAATTCAATTCAGCGCAAACGCTGAAAATTCGCTTACGCCTTGTTTCCCCTTGTCTCGCCCAACTGGCCAGTTACCCAAAAAAGCCGCCAACTGGCAATGGCTATTACCCAATAACTAGAAAAAGCGGCTAATCGCGTGAATAGTTTTTGGGGGCGGCGTAATTGATGTTTACAGCTAAGCAGGCAGGCCAGCATTGAGTCGCTCACGTTTTGCGAATCACCATTTCGTTGCCTACTTTTCGGGGCACCTGCCCAATTGCAACGCTGCTGCTGCTGCTGCTGCTGCTTGTGCCAATGCTGTTGCTACTCACCACTGGTTTTGTTGGTTACTTAGTTAGGGGTTGGCGACCAGAAGTTGCTTTCAACGATACCTTGATTTAATGCATTTCATTGAGCAGCGATAGCAAATGGGATCTGGTAATGGTGGCGGCCACTTAAACACTTAGCATTCATTATTCAATTTTAGGTTGGATTTAGATGTGCATCCGATTGGGGCAACAGACGTATCTATGATTGTTGCTGCGTACGCACTATATACCATATACGTGCAGCAGTATCAAATAGCATATAAAGCTGAGATATTTATGACTGTCTAAAGACAACCACACAACTAGTAATTCAAATAAATAAATAAATAATCATTCTAGCTGCACCAGTAATCAGCTGATATATAGATGATTGCATTAACATAAACAAACAAATAAATAAAAAGACATAAAAGTCGAAGGCCTCAGGTAGTAGTCAGATATAGGGCAATAATATTAATAAATTAGAAATTATTTAAACATTTAGAATAGTATTCAAAATTTCGAATATCAAATGTAGAAGAGAGAAATATAATTGAACACAAATAAGATCAATATTAAGAGTAAAAATATGAGTTAAAATTTCTGCTACCATTGAATATATATATATAGATAAAATATATTTTTAGAATATCAATATAAAGAGTATAGAATATAGAAATGTCAATCAATATTGTTGTGTACAAATATTCTTTGAGCTATGGCAGTTTGTGTTGGGTGGCATATCGGTAAACAGTTGCTTTCTATTTTCAACACTATGTATTCAAGTACATTACCACCAAGAAAGTTGTTTACAGAATTCCAAGCTAACTTCTGAATCTTATCAAACAGCATAGCTAACTGGGACCCCTTTAACCTTTGGCATACAAATCAACAATTCCCCTTCATTGCTGTCTATAAATGTTACCCATATGAGTGGGCTCCAGTCTGCCATTTTGTGTGTGTGTGTGTGTGTGTGTGTGTGTGTGTATGTGTCGTATGTCGCATCATGTTGGCTCTGTTGCCGTTTGCTCACCT